CACCGGGACTGAGCCCCACTCACCTGATGTGATGCCTGAGCAGGCGAAGTAGAAGAGGAGGAGAAGGGCAGTAAATTTCCTCATCCTTCCCTGCAGAACACTTCGGTGCGGTCTGGAGAAGCAAACGCAGCTGCGGCCAGCTGTCGGTTCAGAGGTCCCTAGGCACGGTTCCGAGAGACAGCACGGGCAGGGCCACGTTCGGGTGCGGAGCAGAGCCGGCCCTCACCTGCTCACAGCCACACAGGAACTGAACAGAGAGAACAAGACTCGGGAAATATCAGCGGCCCAGAACGAACCTTTGTCCCTTCGCTCACAGTCTGTGAGCTCCCTCAAGGATGTTGCAGAGATAGGACAGGGACAATAACCAGAATGCAGTAGCAAAGGGCAAAGTGAGTAGTGTACCAGGTATTCAGTGGGCAAGCCCCAGGAACAAGGAAGGAGCTGGCTGCAGGGGTTGGGGTGATAAATAGAGGGGGTGTATAGAGATAGATAGATAGATAGATAGATAGATAGATAGATCAACCTCAGGAGGTCATCTAGTCCAACCCCCTGCTCAAAGAAGGACCAATCCCCAATTAAATCATCCCAGCCAGGGCTTTGTCAACCCGGGCCTTAAAAACCTCTAAGGAAGGAGATTCCACCACCTCCCTAGGGAACCCATTCCAGGGCTTTACCACCCTCCTCGTGAAATAGTGTTTCCGAATATCCAACCTAGACCCTCCCCCACTGCAATTTGAGACCATTACTCCTTGTTCTGTCATCTGCCACCACTGAGACCAGGATCCATCCTCTTTGGAACCCCCTTTCAGGTAGTTGAAAGCAGCTATCAAATCCCCCCTCATTCTTCTCTTCTGCAGACTAAACAATCCCAGTTCCCTCAGTCTCTCCTCATAAGTCATGTGCCCCAGCCCCCTAATCATTTTTGTTGCCCTCCGCTGGACTTTCTCCAATTTGTCCACATCCTTTCTGTAGTGGGGGGCCCAAAACTGGACGCAATACCCCAGCTGTGGCCTCACCAGTGCCGAATAGAGGGGAACAATCACGTCCCTCGATCTGCTGGCAATGCCCCTACGTATACATCGCGAAATGCCATTGGTCTTCTTGGCAATGAGGTGCCAATATTCATATCCAGCTTCTCGTCCACTGTAACCCCTCAGTCCCTTTCTGCAGAACTGCTGCCGAGCCATTCGGTCCCCAGCCTGTTGCCATGCATGGGATTCTCCCGTCCTAAGTGCAGAACTTCAGGGGAGCTGGGGGCAAACTGGGAAGCAGCCAGGGGACAATCCAAGGGCTAGAAACCTGACCTAGGGGAGAAGGTTAAACCTGGACACATTTAGCATGGAGGACGGGGGGACTTGAGCCCAGCCTGGAGGTCGGGGAAGGGCTGATCTGAGGGGACAGGGTCAGTTGTTCTCTGGGGCCCCCAAAGGCAGGACAAGGAGCAAGGGACTTAATCCGGAGCAGGGCCGAGCTTGGTTGGGTTTTAGGAAACGCTTCCTGGCTCTCCAGGGAGCTCGGCTCCAGAACAGGGCAATACGGGGGGCGGGAGGGTCCTGTCCCTGGGGGGTTTTCAGAGCAGGTTGGACAAATGCCCATCAGGGCTGGACTGGGGTTACTGGTCCTGGCTCAGCGCAGGGGGCTAGACCAGATGCCCTCCAGTGGGGATGGGGGGCTGGACCGAATGACTCCTCAAGGTCCCTTGCAGCTCAACCTTCCCATGACTAGGTGTAAATTGTCCCCCACCCTGGTGCTGGCTGAGCATTGGGAGGGGATGGTCTGCTCAGCATCTCCTGCTCCTTGAGGAAGCGGGGCTGCCCAGGAGAGCCAGGGGCTGATAGAGCCTCACACAGACGCCCACTCCATCTACAGAGGTCCAAGCACAGGTCCCGCCTCAGGCCCACGGGGTTCAAGGCCAGAGAACCTCCCCGAGCTGCTCCTGCATCCAGCAGTAGTAGGGCTGTTGTCTGCAAGCTGAGACCAGGGCCTCATCCCGTTAGGTGCTGCCCAGACCCTGACCAAGAGCCAGGCCCCATGGGGCCAGACACTGCCCAGACCCAGCTGAGATGAGGCCCCAGGGTGTATGGGACGGGACAGTGACACAGGCGGGGCGCTCTGCGTGACTTGGAGCCGGAACATTGCAAGGGGCTTCCAGGGACGAAAAGTCCAGGACAATCCAGCCACCTGCACCATGGATCTTTGGACCGCAATTAGCACCATTGATGTGGGATGCGCTTTGGAGTCTATTTGCGGCACTGTTGCCATCGCAGCGGGGAGGGAGGGGAAGAAACAACCATCATTCAGCCACCATAAAGGCATTGAACCCTGGCTAGTATTCGCTCTTGGTTACGGCCAGGAAACAGCAGGGCCCCTTATCAGCAGCTGGGTTATCAGCACCATGCAGGGCAGTCATAAACCGGTCCAAGGTCTGCCACGTGAGCGGCCTGCTTCCAGGAGGGCAAGGTGGGTCGGGAGCCTCTTCTCGTCCATCTTCGGCCGCTCTGCCAGCCTCGCCTGGGCTCAAAGTCCAGCCCCCTCGGGCCGCACCCAGCGGGCTGGAGATAACGGCTCTACTACTGCTGCCCGCTCTGTCCCTTTTGTCATCCCGGCCCTACTGTGGAGACGGGGGTCCCATGAGATGAACTGTGCCAATGACAGATGTGCCTCTTTTTGGAGGGATAACAGCCCTACTACTGCCGTCAGCTAACACGCTCCCTCCTTTGAGGGATCCAGGTTCAAACCCGGCTCATGGGGGCGTCAGAGTGGCTGGGCCACTCTGTCCATCACACGCTGCCTGGACCTGCCCCGTCGCCGCCAGGGAAGGTAGCAGACATAGGTCAGATAGGATCCTGGCCTCTGACTGCACCCAGGTGCTTCCAGTTCGGGTCTCAAACTGGTCTCTAACAGAGAGCAACTCAAACCATGGGGGAGGAGGGGGGTTATCTCATAGATTTGTGTCGACCCAGGCCAGAGAATTCACCCAGCTCCCCCCGGACCGCGCCCGGCCGCTTGTGCTGGACTAAAGCATCTCCCAGAAGGGACCCGCGACTGCCCCTCGACAGTTCCAGGCAGAGACCAAGTGGCCGTCTCCTAACCCAACGCGTGGGGGCCCTGTTCCTTCTCTGTCCTTCTAGTTTCGTTTCTCAAGCCTGGCACCACCCAGGAGTGCAAGTCTCTGACGTCTTCTCATCAGCACCATGGAGCCGGCCAGTCTCTGTTCTCCATAAACCCTTAATTAACCCTCCCCCTCCTTTCATTCCAGATGAACCAAGTCCCGTATCAGCCGCTCTGGCATCTTGCCCAAATATTTGGCCCGTTTATCCGTGTTAAATATTGGCACAACGCTGGCTCCCTGCCCATCTTTGGGACGGGCAGAGCCCTGGGAACCCACCACAAGTGGGCACGGAGGGGCGGAGCGGACAGGGGGACTGTGCCAAGCTGGCATGTCAGTGTCCCGGGGGCTATTCACTCAAGTGTTTGCCTTCGCACCGCGCCCTCCACCCGGGCCTCCTTTCCCCCCCTTCTTTCTTTCTCTACAAGTTTGTTTTTCACGTGACTCGGCCCCGGGCTCAGGTTGCCACTATCTGCCCCGCTGCTGTCTGACTTGGCAGTCACATGCCGCGATAGCAGGGACATGTGCACCCTTGTCAGGTGTTTGGGCACCACTTCATCAGCTGGCACAAGCCAGCCTTGGGCTGGGCAGACTGGGGCCGACCCATCCCCTCCCAGGTCCCGGGACCGAGCAGCCCAAGCAGCCAGGTTTGGGTACAGGTGCTGTGTGGCCCGGCAGGCACCAGACGCCCCCCGGGGCACAGACATGAGCATGATCTGGGCGGGGGGGACACGCTGCTCTCGCCCCCGAGTCTGCCCTGAATTGGGGGGGGTTCCTACTCCCTGTCTGGGGGTCTGTGGGGGGCATGTGCCTGGAGACACAGTTCCTCACAGGGGAGCCTTAGGTAACAAGCGCCCCATTCTCAAAATAACACCCACCCCCGGGCAAGGAAACCCACTCACGCCTGGCATTTTCTCACCGCTTTATTTCCCCTCTGAGAATCACAACAGCAGAGCTTAATTTCTTACACTTACATTATTTCAGTCCGCAGGGGCTGTCGGGGAGCAAAATCCGGGGGGGGGGGTGTCCTGTCTTGGGGGGGTCTGTCATGAGGAGAGGCAGCCCCCTCCCGGGGGTGGGGAAATCTGATCCAGGGGCGTCCCCCTGCAGAGCAATGAACCTGGCCAATGCCTTTTGCCTTGCTCTGCTCTAGCGTGGCTTCTTCCCCTGGACGCCTGGGTCCCCTGTCTTCACTGAGAACCCCCTCCCAGCTGGAAATGGGCCATCCTCACTTCCTCTGGATGCCTGGGTCCCCTGGCCTCACCCCTTGGGAACGCAGCCCCCATTCCCCCTACCTCCATCCCACCCCTGTTTGCTCAGGGCAAAGGAAACAATTGGAAATCAACAACACCCCCACCCCAGAAATTGCCAGCAGAGGGGCTTGGTGCCAGCCAGCACCTTCCTGGCCTGCCCATTCTTCCTCTTTGACAAACGATCTGCTGAACCCGCTGTGCAAACAACCTCAGTGCGGCCAGCCAGGGCCTGGGAAAGCTCCACCCGTGCACCTGGCACCTGGCTGCCAAAGAGGAACACCCCGCCCCCAGACACAGGCAGAGTTGGGGACGCTACCAACTCCTGCCCCACTGCCCAGACCCCATGGCCCAGTGCCCAGTGTCCCACTACCACCAACAGCAGCACTGCTTGGTGCCTGCCAGTCCCCGGGAGCTCAGCAGTGTCCAGTCCCGGATCCGCTGCGTCCCTGTCCCACGGGAGGGTCTTGGCAGCAGAGAGTGACTGGCCTGGTGGTGGCTCTGGGTTCACGTCTGGCCTGGGCCCCCCGGCCTCAGCTCCGCAGGTCTGACGGGTGCAGATCCCCGGGGAGCAGCCTCCTCCAACAGCTACGGCCGCTGGATCAGTCCTGGATGTCGCAGGCCAGACCAGCTGCCGGGACTCAGATACGGGTCACCTGGGGCCGGGCAATTTGCGTCTGGGGGAAGCAGAGCCAGCCTGGGTCAGGCAATGCGGAGAGCCCAATGCCCCTCACCCCCGACCCGCAGCTAGGGTGACCAGGTGTCCAGTTTCTGACCGGAACACCCGGTCAGAAAGGGACCCTGGTAGCTCCAGTCAGTAGGTGCTGCAGGACTAAGGCAGGTGAGTCCCTACTTCTCCTGGAACAGTGCTGCGCCCTGGAAGCAGCCAGCAGGTCCAGCTCCTAGGCGGGGGTGCCACAGGGCTCCACAAGCTGCCCCCGCCCCGAGCACTGGCTTTGCACTCCCATTGGCCCAGAACCATGGCCAATGGGAGCTGCAGGGGCGGTGGCTGTGGGTGAAAGCAGCATGCAGAGCCACCTGCCACACCTCTGCCTAGGAGCCGGACCTGCTGCTGGCCGCTTCTGGGGTGCAGTGCAGAGTCAGGACAGGCAGGAAGCCTGCCTTAGTCCCCACACTGCACCGCTGATTGGGAGCTGCTGGAGGTAAGCCCATGCCCCAACCCCCTACCCTGAGCCACTCCCAAACCCAGAGCCCCCTCCTGCACCCCAAACTTCTCATCCCCAGCCCCATCCCAGAGCCTGCACCCCCAGTTGGAGCCCTCACCTCCCCAGCATCTCAACCCCCTGCCCCATCCCAGTGCTCCCTCCCACACCCTGAACCCCTCTGCCCCACCCCCTAGCCTGGAGCTCTCTCCTGAACTCCACAACCCTCATCCACAGTCCCACCCCAGACCCTGCACTCACTTCCTCCTGCACCCCAATTTCCTGCCCCAGCCCACTGAAAGTGTGTGAGGGTGGGGGAGAGTGAGCCACTGAGGAAGAGAGGGAATGTAGTGAGCAGGGGGCGGGGCCTTGGGGAAGGGGGGGGCCAGGGAAGGGGTGGGGCTAAGGTGTTCATTTTGTGCAATTAGAAAGTTGGCAACCCGACCCACAGCCTCTGCTAGCCCAGCCCTGGGCTCCCCCCAGCTCTGCCAATGGTCAGGTACCTGCAGAGATGTGTCTACTTTGTCCAGGGAAGGCCGGAAGGACGAGGAGACTCTGTGGCTGCCAGTGCCTCCCTCAGTCCCTGCAAGAGGCCCCAGAACGGGATGAGCAGCTACCATTTGGGGGGCCAGTTTCCTCCACCCTCGGCTATCCCAGCACTGCTGCCCCTGCCCCACTGCACCCTGGTCCCCTGACCCCACCCTGCCATGCACTTTCTCCTGCCCCCATTCCATCCCCTCCCTTTCCCAGCCCCCCTGCTCCACCCCCGCCGGCTAGGGTTGCCCCAGAATCAGCCCTTTGTGGCAGGATCGGCCCCGGGCACCCGCTGCACCTGGCCAGTACCTTGGGTTCAGGCTCCTCCCAGATCTCCCAGTTATTTGTGCCTCGGAGGTGGCAGCCAAACCCCTTGCCCAGCCAGCCCCCTTCCACCCAGACCCTCTCCCAGCGCCCACCGCTCAGCACCCCTACAGAGCACGAAGGAGCCAGGCCAGCAGAGTGGAGAGGGGAGGCTGAGGTCAGCCTGGCTCACTGAGGCCCAGAGCCAGGGGACGTGGCTACACACCTGGGATGTTACCAGTCCAGCTGGGTGCAGTCGGGGTCCTGGCAGTGATTCCCTGGGGTGGCGCATTCCACTCCCACTCCTCGTTGTTGTACCACTTCTCCTGACTCTCCTCCAGGTCCGCCACACTGCAGAGAGAGCAGCCATACCGCCCGTCAGCCCCAAGGCCCAGCCCCCCGCAGCCCTCGGCATGTGCACTCCGGGGGGACCGGCTGCCACATACCCACCTCCAATTTCCATCCCCCCCAAATGTCTCAAATTCTCTGGTTTCAAAACCGGCCAGAGCCTGGCGCAGCCTGTCCTCGGTACAACCCCAGCACGGCCTGGCGCACAAAGCCTGTCCGAGAGGATCGGCCTCTGGACTCGCCCCAAGCCACGCGGTCTGCAGCAAAACTGTGGCGAGAACCCAGGAGTCCTGAGTCTCAGCTCGGGGCCCTGGCTCCCCCAGCTCAGGGCAAATCCCTCCTCTCCCATGCCTCAGTTTCCCACTCCATGAAATCCTTCCCTACCTGACGGGGGCGGGGCAGGGGGAGAGACTAAAATCTATTGGTGACTCCGTGGAGCCACCCAGATGCCACAGTGATGAGGCCAAGAAAAGGTCACAGATTCATAGAATCATAGACGATCAGGGTTGGAAGGGACCACAGGAGGTCATCTAGTCCAACCCCCTGCTCAAAGCAGGACCAATCCCCAACTAAATCATCCCAGCCAGGGCTTTGTCAAGCCCAAGCTTAAAAACGTCTAAGGAAGGAGATTCAGAGCATTCAAGGCCAGGAAGGACCATGAGTCTGAGCGTCTGTTTAGCCCGGGCCAGCAAATCTCACCCACTCAGAGAGCTGCGTCTTCCAACCACCTCTGGAGAGACTGGCCCCTCCGTTCCCCTGGCCCTGTCGGCCGCCCTGCTCCTCACCCCGGCCAGCTTGAGATCCTCTCTCTTGGGCGTGGCTGGACGTTGGGGTCTGACCCGTGCCTGACCCCAGGGTGTGACGAACATGGGCGTTCTCTGCAATATCATTCTGAACACTCTGCAGGACTCGGCGCCTGTGCCCCTGTCATCGCCCCCCCGGGGGAGGGTTTGCATTCGACACACCTGCCCCCGCTGGCTCTCAAGGCAGCAACAGTCCTAGGCTCACCGGAAAGACCAGACCCCTCTCTGGCCCTCTGTCCTTCCCAGTGCAGATTATCTGGGGCAGAGGGGGTTGACAAAATTGGATTTTGGGGGGGTCAAAAAACACTCATTTCTCAAAACGGGGCATAGGAAAGCCTCAGGCATCCATGCAGTTTTTTACTTTGGGGGGGAAAAAAGGGTTTGAAATTGTACTGCCCCAGTTTGCCATTTTCCAAAAGAAACCAACGAACTAAAAAAAGGATCAAGTTTTCCGGTTCCCAACTTTTCATGGGGATGTTTCAAAGACCGAAAATGGTTGAAACCGAACTATCCCAAACTGAAATTTCGGGGGGTGGGGGGTGGTATTTTCAGTTCAGGGAATTTTCTGAGGTTTCCATCAAGTAGGGGCAGAGAGGTAGTTTTCCCTCTGTGCCTAGCCTGGGTGCGACCATGGCTGAAATCAGTGTCTCAGTTTCCCCTTCTATGAAATCCTTCCCTACCTGACTGTGGCAGGGGAAAGGAAGGGAAAAGACCAAAATCCATGAATCTGAGCATCTGTTGCCCGTTCTAGCACCCACAGTTCCAGCCAGATGGTGATTAAATCACAGAGGGGTCAGAGAAGAGTCATGAGAAGAATTAAAAACCTTGCTTTCGAGTGACAGACTCCAGGAGCTCTGTCTATTTGTTCTCCTTAACCTCTCTGAACAAGACAAGAGGCAATGGGCTTAAATTGCAGCAAGGGAGTGTGACGCTGCACTCCATATGATTTTAAGAAAATATGCTAATGAGTGTGAATATAATGTCACTGGAATATGCTTCATGCAAAAGGTCTCTTGTGAGGTTTCATGACAAAGCTTATAATCTACGGAGTGTGGTCATCCTATTTGTATGAATGTATCACTCTTGTATCTGAAACTAGAAATATGAAATATAACTCTGAGGGCCTATTGTAATTATGCAAAATGTGGGCCATTAATGGTGGTTTGCAATCTTGATGGCGCCCATCAACTAGGACAATTGGTTGTAAATGGCTCTGTTTTCAGGCAGGCCTTCCTGTGAGCCAGACCAGGAAGAATGGAGGCTTAGGGGACTCATAGGATATGTGACCATAACACCTAGTACTGGAATCCATCTTAAACATAATGCTTTTCCATTTAGAAGGAGGGGTGGGGCCCCAGAGAGACAAAAGATTCCCGCCCTGTGCCAAAGCTATAAAAGTGAGAGGAACAGAACAAAGGGGGCTGCAGTCATGAGAAATCCCCTAGTTACCACTTGAGCTGGAACAAGGGCTGTACCAGGGGAAAGGATCGGGCCCAGACTAGAAAGGAGTCTAGCCTGTGAAAGAAGCTTATTGGAACTATATTAGGCTTAGACTTGCGTGTTTTTGTTTTATTTTGCTTGGTAATTTACTTTGTTCTGTCTGTTATTACTTGGAACCATTTAAATCCTACTTGTTACTAATTAATTAACCCAGAACAAGTCATTAATACCTGGGGGAGCAAACAGCTGTGCATATCTCTCTATCAGTGTTATAGAGGGCGGACAATTTATGAGTTTAAGCTTTATACAGAGTAAAACGGATTGACTTGGGGTTTGGGTCCCACTGGGAGCTGGGTGTCTGGGTGCTAGAGACAGGAGCACTTCTTAAGCTGTTTTCAGTTAAGTCTGCAGCTTTTGGGGGACGTGGCTCAGACCTGGGTCTGTGTTTGCAGCAGGCTGGCATTTCTGGCTCAACAAGACAGGGTATGGAAGTCCCAAGCTGGCAGGGAAAATGGGATCAGAGGTAGTCTCATGACATCAGGTGGCAGTCCCGAGGGGGGTCTCTGTGACCAAACCCATCACAAGGAGGTTTAAATTGACATCAGGAAACACTTCCTAACTGTCAGGGTGGTTAAGCCCTGGAATAAATTGCCCAGTGAAGTGGTGGAATCGCTGTCCTTGGAGGTTATTAAGAGCAGGTCAGACAAACCCCTGTCCAGGATGGGTTAGATCCCACCATGCTGTGCCTCCCCAGGCCCCGCCTGCCCCAGGCCCTCCCCCCCGTACCTGTGCTTGCCACTCCAGTGCCGACGCCAGCCAAGGCAGATGGCCAGGACAAGAATCACCAGCAGCAGCACGACCAGGCCGAGCGCCACCCCCACTGCTACGCCCACCTTGCTCACGACTTGTTCGCAGTGACTGCCCGTGAACCAGTACCAATCTGAGTGCTGGCAGCTGCCAAGAGAGGGGGAGGCCATCAGGAGTGTGACGCAGTGAGGACACCTGGGTTCTCTCCCTGGCTCTGGGAGGGGAGCGGGGGCTGATGGGTCAGAGACAAGGGGCTGGGAACCAGGAGTCCTGAGTTCTCTCCCCAGCTCGGAGAGGGGAGTGGGGGCTGGTGAGTTAGAGAAGGGACGGCTGGGAGTCGGGACTCCTGGGTTCTCTCCCCAGCTCTGGGAGGGGAGAGGGATCTCATGGGTTAGAGCAGGGGTAGGGGTTTCCGATGTCAGAAGTGTGGGAAAGGGACAGCAAGGGACAGTCCCAGCCCCAGTACTGAGGCTCAGGCCTGACCCAAGTCTGCCCAATGCTCCCCAGGAGCAAATGCTGAAGAGGGGGGTGACCAGCCCTGTGCCCCAGTGACCCCCCTCCCATTTTTTGCTGCTCCAGAGTGTGGTGTTCTGACCAGCTGCGGGTTCCTTTCACCCAGGTGTTGCAGCCGGCCTCCATCCCCCTCCCCAGCCACAGTTGAGTTCCCCACACCTCCACCCCGGGCGGTGACACTCACTAGCAGGTGGGTCCTGGGAGAAACTAGCCGGTCTGCATGACAGATGCAGCGGAGCGAGGTGGGGGTCTCCTTCATCTCCCCAGGGGGCTCTGGAGACCCCCTCGGCTGGCTGGCGCCCCCTGGGAGCCCAAGACAGATGCAGGAAACACGGCAGGGACGGCATGCAAGGCTCCGCAGCGACCCCGAAAGCCAGATGGCCAGCGCCGGGCCCACAAAAGGGAGGCCGGCTGGCCAGGCGACGCGCGGTACACACCCGGAGAGGCGCTGGTGCAATTGGTGGCGTTCAGCCGCGCTCTGACGTTGCCCACGGCCTGGGTGTACACACTGGTGTAGTTGGCGTAGGGCACGTCCAGGACCACGCGGTGATGCACCACCACGCTGCCATTGCTGTGGGAGGAGAAGAATAGAAAGGCCGTCAGGGGCCACCGGATGACACCACCCCATCCCCAGGGTTGCCAGGCGTCCGGGTTCCAAGAGGAAGGCCTGGTCGAAAGGGGACCCTGGCAGCTCCGGCTGGCACTGCCGACCACTTGGTGAAACGTCCGGCCGGCGGTGCAGTGCGGGTAAGGCAGGCTAGTCCCTGCCTGCCCTGGGGCACCGCACTGCTCCCAGAAGCTGCCGCCAGGTCCCTGCAGCCCCATGGCACATGGGCGGCCAGTGAGGCTCCATGCACTGACCTCGCGCCTACAGGCATCACCCCCACAGCTCTCATTGTTGGAGGTTCCCGGCCAATGGGAGCTGCGGAGCCAGGCCTCGGGGTGCGGGCTGCGCGTGGAGCCTCACTGACTGCCCATGTGCCTAGGGGCTGCAGGGACATGGTGACAACTTCCTGGAAACAGCGGCAAGTGCCACAGGGACCACCCCACCCTGAACCCCTCCTGCACACGAACTCCCTGCCCCAGCCCAGGGGGTTTGCTTTTGTGCGACTAGAAAGTTGGCGACCCTTTCTCCCACCCCCATCATGGGGCCCGGGCCCCACACCTCACCTCAGCTGGATCACCTCGATGCTGAGGAACCCAGGCACCGTCTCCCTGTAGATCGGGTCCATCTGCAAGAGAGCGGGCTCAGCACGGTGGGTGCAAAGTGCTCCCCCTACTCCATGGAGCCCTGGCCCCCTTCCCTGCGCTCCGCACAGACCTGCCCTGCTGCAGCAGCTGTCCCCCGCCCAGCAGAGACCCTGCTCCCCCAAACCGGTGGGATGCTCCTTCCTCCAGACTGCCTTGGACCTTCCACGGCTCAACCCAGCCCCAGGGACCATCCCCCACCTGCCAAAGCCCCAAACTTCCCATAATGCATTGCATCAGGACCCCTGCCCCTAGGAGACACCGCGGCTCTGTGCAATGGGGCACTGCCTCCACAGACCCTGCAATCTAACCCCTCACCGGCGTGCCAGACCCCAGCTCTGCCCCCACTACAGCAGTTCCCCATTCACCCACAGCTCCACGTGTTCCCCCCAGCCGTCCTGAGTCCGGTCTCCCTCACCCGGGTACGGAAGATTTCCACAAACACTTTGAACGCTGTGGACTTTGGATCCTCCATGCTTTCGGAGAAGTTCATGTTCGTCACCACCACGGTGACATTGATCTCCGCCTTCACCACATCTGCAAATGGGAAACAAAGTGCAGCTTTGGCAGCCCCGAGCGCTCACGAGCTGGGGAGGATGAGCGCGGGCTCGCCAGGCTGGGTTTAAACACCACAAGATAGGGGCAGGGGTAATTAAAGAGCCAAATGAGTTTGGCTCCTCTTCTGAGCCTCTAAAGTAGGTCCATCATTGGAGAATCCAGGAACGGACCGGCTGGAAAGGAGCCTGAGTTCAGATCCTCACGCTGAGCCAGGACCAGTAACCCCAGCCCAGCCCTGACGGGTGTTTGTCCAACCTGCTCTGAGAAGCCTCCAGAGACAGGACCCGCCCGTGGCACCTGTTCTGGAGCCGAGCTACCCTGAGAGCCAGGAAGCGTTTCCTAAAACCCAACTGAGCTCGGCCTTGCTCCGGATTAAGCCCCTTGCTCCTTCTCCTGCCTTTGGGGGCCCCGGAGTACAACTGACCCTGTCCCCTCAGACCAGCCCTTCCCCGACCTGCAGGCTGGGCTCAAGTCCTCACCGTCCTCCACGCTGACCACACCCGGGTTCAACCTCGCCCCCTAGGTCGGGTTTCTAGCCCTCGGATCGTCCTCTGCATGGCCACTCGCCCGTTTGCCCCCAGCTCCCCTAATGTGCCCAGAGGTCGCCACAGACCCATGGCAGGGGGCTTACCGGCACCAACAGAGCAGGACGACGCCCTCCCCCATTCACACACCCTGGGTTGATATTAGCCTTTTTTGCACCTGTCGCACATTTGCTTGTGCGATGCTCTTGCAAAAAAGACGAGTGTCAGTCACGGGTCGCAGGAACAAACACCCCGGTAAAGCCACCAGGGTCGCCTGGTAAAGTAAAGCTGCTCCAGGTCAATTAAGACACCTGGGGCCAATTAAGAACTTTCCAGAAGGCAGGGAGAAGGCTAGGTTGATTGGGACACCTAAAGCCAATCAGGGGCTGGCTGAAATTAGTTAAAAGCCTCCCAGTTAGTCAGGTGGGTGCGCATGTCAGGAGCTGTGGGAGGAAGTTGTGCTGTTGGAGAGGCTGCGTAGTACACACCATATCAGGCACAAGGAAGGAGCCCATGAGGGAAGGGTGAAGTGGAGCTTGAGGAAGTGAGGGCTGCTGTGGGGGAAGTAGCCCAGGGAATTCTACATGTCATGTTTCTAAAAGGTCAGCTGCCATAGTTGATACTATTAGGGTCCCTGGGCTGGAGCCCGGAGTAGAGGATGGGCCTGGGCTCTCCCCCACACCTTTGCCACCTGATTAATCACTGAGACTGAGAGACGACAGAGACTGTGCAAGGAAGGAAACTTCTCCTCACCTTCCTTGCTGGCTTATGATGAAAATGGTTCAGTAGACTGTGACCCTTGTCTCGAGAGAAAGAAGGGTTACGTGGAGGGTCACAGTGAGCCTCTGAGACTAGCGAAATCCGCCAGGAAATGCAGGACCCATGGAGGCAAGGACAGAGCTTTGTCACAGTCCCCAAAAGGCTCAGGGACTGACAGTCCAACAGGGACCCTCAGAGCAATGGGGGAGGCCAGAGCCACTCACCGATGTTGATGTTGTTCATCACCGTTTCGCACCGCTCCCCTGTAAATCCCGAAAGGCAGAGACACTTGTTCGCAAGGGGCGTCCCTCCATTCTGGCACCTCAGGGGCTCCAGCGTGGTGGCGGGAACTTCAGGGGAGCAAAGAGAGAAATGGGACTGAATGAGGACATACACCTGAAAGGGACCCCTCGCCCGGCACTGAGATGTGGGCACCTCTGGGGTGAGCGTGGGAAATGGTAATGGTTTGCCACAAGTTTCTAGCCAGGAATTAACTTCACATCCCAGTTAGCCACTGATGTGGATGATGTGATTTTTGTGTGTGACAATAGCCCCTGCATGCCCCAAACCGTAAGGAGGACCCCATCGTGCTGGGCACTGCACCTGCCCCGACTGAGATCAGGGACCCCACGGTGCTGGTCAGTGGCTGAGCCAGGAATAGAGTCTACGGTTCCCAGTCTGCCGCCCCTACCTTCCTCGCGGAACCCTGTTCCCCATAGAAACCCACAACTCACCCGCAGTGGTTGTGGTGCCAGTGGGCTTTGTGGGGTGGCTGCTGGTCTG